TATCTTATAGATAGCTTAACTGATAGATAGCATTGGTTTGGTAGTAACGGGCCTGAGTATCGTTACTACCATCTTCTGGTTAAGCTATGTAAGGGATTATTACGACGGTGATTGGCTAGTAGATGGGTTTATCTATAAGATAAATTTAACTAAAAGATGGTAGTAATGGACCTCAATGGTTCGAAACCATCACGAACTTTTACCTGCTATAATGGTAGCTATACTACCTGTAGACAACGTAAACCCAGCAGTTACCCTAGGCTTGTACTTTGCCAGGATATCTCCTAGTTGTTAGAGTTCTGCTCCGATACAGAGTCCTCACATTCCAAGAGCACAGAGTTAAGTCATTATTCCTTAAAGCACTATTCTTTGATTGTCGCTTAGGTGAATTCTTTAGAGCTTTCAGGCGTTTTCTACATTTTGGGGATCTCCTGCTATCGATTATTAAGTAATTAAGTTAAATCTGGTTGATATTTTAATTTCTTATAATTAAATTGACTTGTAAGTTTAAAATAATTGAGATCATTATAATTCTTTTAAAGTGTTGTTAATTATACTCCAAGTACGGTGAATTCTCAAGCATCTTTTTAGTGAATCACAGAACAAACATTTCCTGTTTTCGGAAAGACTAAAGTTGAGCCAACTCTCTGATTGCAATATATCTTCGAATGTATTTCCTAGTACCTGTCTCTACTCTTTCGGCCGTATTGCCAGATTGATTTATTAATGTATAGTTAATGCAAGTTTAGTGATATTACCTATAATTGCATCTATCTAAATCTAAATAGTTTTTCATCAATTACCAGATGGTTTATTATATTATTTTATCTTATTTGGTTACTGTAGTATGTTAACAAAAAATATATATAAGATGTTTTGCCAACATCATTTCGATTTTAATTACTGTTATAAACACATTCATGTAAAAGATACTGACTCAAAGACAATGACGAACAACAAAGAGAGAAGTCTCGGTTTCACGAAGACGATGTGAGTCAGGTCATTGTGTTGGCGAATATACGACCGGGTCCAAGAAATTAATAGTTCAACGCGGGATTCTGCGAGAGTTTTTACTGCCTGGCGCATCAGATTAGAAGACATTAAAGTCTTCGCTTCGAGGGCATTAATTTCACTCTTTATGCACGTTCCACCCGGACACTTTTACAGTCAAAATTCCAACAAGAAACAATTCCCAATCTCTATAGATTTGAATATACGAAATTGTTTTAACAAGAAAGTGCCTTATAGCGTTCGATTTACTCTTGAATATTTGTGTTTGGTTTCATGTGTTTGATGTTGGGTTGGTTGGTGTTTGTTGTTCGTTTAGAGGTCGGTCAAGAGATAATACGATCATGAAATGTTCGCGGTTTAGCGACAAGGAACATAAATAGCGGTGAGGACGCGAACCGCTGACACCCGAACAGTGTACGGAACACGGGTCTGCGCCGCCAGGGCTTCGTTTCGAACCGAGGCCCCTCGCAGTGAATTAGATCCGGCCGATGGGGGCAATATTTAATTGGCACTGCGTATCAGCCGCGTTACAACCGTAAACATTGCGGCTACAAACATATTTAATGTCGACCGTAAATATATCGCCGTAAAACGTGACACTCTCCAACCAAACCTATACGTTACTACTACTACGCACATTACACACATTTCCTTTTTTTATAAGCAGAGTCAATTTTTCTTTCTTTATAAGAGGTTCAATAAAAAATAATTCGTTGTAGGGGGTTAGTTGCGTGAAAAGGGACGGTAATTAGGTTGTCGCAAACACAACTTTTACTCCCAACAAATGGTTTATTGTATTACATATAATTGCCTGAAGGATATTTAATTCTGAACGGTTTCCTGAACGATTGTCGTTGCGTTGACACGAAGTTGAAATGAACTTGATCGAGTAGGGTGTTGGAAAAGGAAATTGGAACAATCTCTTGGTGATTAGGTGACACAAAATCTAAAATTAAGTTCTCATACATCAATAGCAAAATAAATTTCGAAATTATAAAAGAAAAATGTAACAATATTTTTTTGTGTAAGAATTTCTAAAAAAAATCTACACCGACAACTCTTAGTTAAGAGTTGTTGGATGATCAATGAATTGACGAAGAGATGCAATTAGTTACTAAGTGACCCGGAGAAGCTCCAACTCCAAGCAACGCAGGCTTCAGTAAAAAGACTACGAAGAAAACGTCTTCGAAGCGCTGTTCCCTATCCCGCTGTTCGAAGCCGTTGCCGTGACAATAAAAATTATAGGCTAGCTGAACTGGAAAACAACGGGCCTTCCTCGGACCTTGGGTCCGTTGTTGTACGACGGCGACGAGAGAAGACGAGAGAAGAAGTAAAGAAGTGCCGCGCGCCGATCGGCGCATTCATTAACGGTCGACACGCAACCGGCGCGGTTCTTCTTCTTCGGCTTGGTCGCTTGCTGCTGCGGGTCGTCGGGCGTGCGTGCGTGAGACACCCCGGGCCTGCGCCCCGCGGCTTGACCCCTGCCGCCCCTTGGTAGCCCGGACCGGACCGCAAACCACGCTAATTATGGATAATTTCGTCCTGCTCCGGTGGTTCGCCTGTCTTTTCAACGGATTCACCAACAGAAGAGACCGTTTTCGTGCTTATAGTCTTCGAGACCTCTTTAACACAAAAGCGATCATCCTAATTTATACCAACAATTACGTATTAATATTCAACGTTATCATCTTGTAGGATTTTCTACAAGATCAATATTACAGCTTTAAAATCACAACGTATCATTCGCACTTGTAAATTTTAACGAAATATTGTACCGTTGAAAATTTACAACAACAAAAGGGATATTAACATTCGAGATTATCGTGTAGTACGACTGGAGAACGCCTCGGATTCTCCTGCCGACTATAAAACATCGACGGTCCTTGGAGCCACATGCTTCTTCGTTCTTCGTCCTCCGAAAGGAGGAATTTACAGGGTGGTCCCGTTCGAAGCTGCAACAAAAGCAATTTGTACGAGTGTCAACCCGAGACCTGGTTATCTGGTCATCTTTCCGGTAAACCGATGTTTTCGTTCTTCTGAAACAGTTGTTGTTGTGCAATATTGTGTTTCAAATCATTCAAAAACAAAATAAAAAATATCTTTTTGATAAATAAAACATTGATATATAAACAACGAATTCAAGTTGTAACTGATTTTTAGTGTGATATCTTAAATGGTATTTTATATACTTATACATAAACATTTTACTAGAAAAGGAATATACTATATAACTTGATTGATTGACTTGAATGATTGAGCAAAAAAGGTTGCAAGAAAAATGGTTTGAGGAAGAGTCTATTGTGTTGTCTCTAATCTCAATTCTTCTCTTGGTGGTTGGATGCCGCCGCAGTAGCAAGCTGCAAAGAGAGCAGCAGCACCAACCACACTTTAAGACGTTTAGGACTAATAACGCCATTAACTTCATTCAACGAGACCGAACAGTCACCGAGCGCGGTCTTTGCACAAGGTGGAATGCTTCGAAGTCCCTATAGAAGGAATTTGCAGAACATGAATGATAACCCCTTGTAAACAATTGTCAATTAGAAGGCATCTAGTTAGCCGACAATACAAGAGGCAGACAGCGGCCTTTTGTTGGGCCTCCATTAGAGGGCACGTTGACGTCCGAACAATTGGTGAGCGCAACAAATGTCCCTTCGTTTCTACTTATCACACGGCTATCTGATCTGAACTGTACCCTTCTCTTTTCCGCTTAAGGAAAACTTATGCGTTCCGTCTTTATTTAAACGTCGCGTCGTTTCGATTTGGAACCGAAAAAAAATTGTTCGAGAAAAAAATTTCCCGATGGCGAGGTAGATATTAATTAACAAGCGATTATAGAGGAGAAGAGAATTAACACAAAACCCTACAAGAATTAACTCTGGGAATAAAAGCCAGTTTCCGCGCGCGCCTGGTATCTCGGTTGCGTAATCGATTGTATATTAAATCATTGGCATTCCCATGCGGGAGAAAAACGCGTCTTGGAAGGAGGATGAGGAAATCGGCTCTAGTGGAGAAATGGGTGGTACCAGTACCGGGACGACGAAGAAGGAGATTAGAAGGAGAAGATTAGAGGAGGAGGACGAGAAGGACGTTATCGCCGGGTTCTTCGCGTGGACCACGGGTAATGACCAATGGTGGGAAAAACTTGCGTGTTGTATTCTCAGTGAACTAGCGTATGCTAATAGAAAGACTGCGGACGATCGCTTTCAAGAACCGTTTCAAAATTTAAATAAACCAACTTCTTCAATAACATATTTAAAGAAGAAAACAAATAAATCATCAACCCAATTAATTTAATTCTCATCTCTCAAACACAAATATAGAAAAAGTAATTACTATGGAACTCCTTATGTGTTGCAATTTATACCAAAATACATTGATTACTTAACCTACATACTTAATCCATAGATGTTTACGTACGTACTTTCCGAAAGAAAAGTATTCTACTAATATATTCTTTTCAAAAGTTTGTTTATATTGACTGTAATAATAGTAATTATATTTATTCAATTATGTGAGCTACATAAGCGGACGTGACAAGTCAGTATACATAGGACAATTAAACAAAATACAATAATAAATTAAATAATACGTTATAAATAATAACAATCACTACATATCTAAAAATTCCTGTCAAGTTCTTTACATTTTTTGAGACACTCCTGAGATATAATCGACCGGGATAATCTATTATAAAATCTTGGGAAGTCATACTTTTTTGAAATGTGAAGGTGACATGTCGAGAGAGAACCAGGTTATTTCCACCACGGGTATCATTTTTGTGAGTAAAAATTATAAAACGGTTAATATTAGTCTTTACATAAACCAATGTCTTCAATAAATAAATGCACAGCAAGATGAGTATCGAATGAGTCCTGAAATAATAATAATATTTATTTGTCGCCATGAAATGTGCGTACAATAGTCAACAATAGAAGAAAATAATAATAATATTCAATAAAAAATGTAATTTAAGTATTCCTCTATCGAGTAGAAGGAGTATTGTAGTAACAATCGCTTCACTTTCCCACTGAAGATGGGCAACGGCAACTCAGAATACGCTGGTGGCAATTTATTATATAATTTTATGCACATATAATTAGTGCTTTGTTGTGGTCTTTTGATGCGGTGTTGTGGAATGACGATCCTGTTCTTCTGCCTAGTGTCATGTTGGTGGATATCACTATGAGATGAATATCTCATTTTATTCTTAGGCAGAAGGGTAACTGCCGCCAGTATGTAGACGCTAGGGACAGTTAATATGTATTTGCATCGCTTTAAATATGCTTCTGCAGCTATCTCGCTGTCCTGCACACCCCACAGCTCTAAGGGCTTCCTTTTGCTGGATTAAGATCTTGGAAGTTTGAGGCGATGATCCCCACATCTCAATGCCATATTGAAGGATGGAATTAAAGTGGATGAAGTAGACGATTCTAGCAGTTTCATGGATTGAGATAATCCTTATTCTTCTGATGAGGTAGGTTGCTGTGGGTAACTTTTTTGTAACGTATTCTATGTGAATTCTATTTCAGGTGGGAATCTATGTTAAGACCAAGGAATTTAATCGTATGTCCCGTATCTGGCTCTCTATTGGTAAGTATGAGTGATTGCGTCTTTTTTCCATTCATTCTTAGCTTATTGCTGGCAAACCACTCCTTCGCTTCCAGCTCGACTTTCCGAGGAGTTCCTGTCTGTCTCTAGATGTCACCAACAGCGAAGTATCATCAGCGTCAAATCAGCCGTTAAGTTTTGTGGTAAGTCATTGATATAGATCAGGAACAAAACCGGGCCAAGAATAGATCCCTGTGGCACTTCCTGTCCTATCTATCTTCTTGCCGAGAATCTTCCTTTCCAGTAAACCATTTGTGTTCTATCCTGGAGATATGTCCTGAAGAGCCCCTTATACCGTACTACTCTCGCTTAGCGAGCAGAATCGGGTGGTTTTTGTTGAAAGCATTTGCTATCAGTTCCAAACGACCCGTAACAGGTGATGATGTGGTTCTTGGCTTTCTGTAACCGTGTTGTTCGGTGCTAAATATGTTGTGACTTTCAAGAAAATCAATCTGTCGCTTCTTTATTACTCGTTCAAAGACCTTGGATAGTGTTGCATGTATTGCGATGGGCATGTAATTAGCGCAATTCGCTTTGTCACCACTCTTGAAAAGTGGCACTACCTTTGAAACTTTAAATTCTTCTGGGTAAATTCCATCTAACATGCATTGATTGATAGCATCTGTTTACGGTTTTGCTATTTCGTTTCGTATACTCTCTAATAAAACTGATGAAATTCCATACAAGTCTAATGTATTTTTTTATTTTAGGTTCTGTATGACACTTCCGACCTCTATCAAATCTGCTGGTGTGAGGAAAATAGAGCTCGCCACCGACCTGCTTCTCTTCACAAAGATTTCCGGACAGAGCACAGGTCCAGGTTCAGAGTGCATCTGGCCAATCACACAAAAATAATTATTAAAGTCGTCCGGAGTTGGACCATCATAGTCACTACTGGTGTCTAATTTCTTTTGGTGGAATTCGTTTTTAATTACCTCTTTCCAACTTTATACAAAATAGCGACATTTTGTATAAAGTTGGAAAGAGTTATAGCTTTTTGTTGTTGAATTGCTTGCTTGTATTCTAATTTGTAGCGCTTGTAAATTTCCATGTGTTCAGGCAAGTTCACAACTGTTGCCATAGTGAGCAATATATCCAATATTCTCTTTTTGTTCTGCAGTTCCGGAGGAAAATTCATTTGACAACATCTTTTCTTGGTATCGGGTACTTCTTTTTCAGGAAATATGCGGTTGAACGAATTAAATTGTGCTACTCTGCTATTGTTTAGCAGAGAACAGCGAATTTTGATCCTAACTTTTTTGTTAATTTCAAAATTAATAGAGTAAATAAAGTAATAGAATAAATTATAGAGGTGTTGGTGTCCATTCCTGTAAGTCCAAAGCTTTGGATTTTTTTTTGAAATATAATAAATTTTCTCCAAATTTAATCCAACCAGTGTGGTTTTTGTTGTCTCAAAAGCTAAGGGATAGGTATTGGTAAAAACTCAGAGACAAGAATATTCGTTTCCTCTATCACCCAAAAAAATTAAAATCACTGGATCACATGATATAATTTTGATACGTGAAGCAAATTGATAATGAAGCTAAAACGTAAACATTTTGATGGTATTGAACACCTTCAAAGATGAAACATATAAAAATATGTAAATAGCAGCCTGAGTGTCGCAACATAATCCATAATCCTACAATTACCTTACCTATCCTCATTATGCACTTAATAATAGATTAAAAATTGATAAACTTTAGAATGTTTCAATTTAAAATCAATAGTGGTTTTTAAAAATTATGTTCTTTTTAAAAATAATTTGTCATATAATATAATAATAATGAAATAATCAGAATAAAAATGTTTTCTAGTGTTCTCAGGACATCTTCTCATTGACGTAAGTTTTTAGAAATTAAAAGACATAAAACCCTCAAATGAACGTGAAACTCAAGCCATGGTAGCAGCCTGAGTTTCGCAACATCATGGGTTCGATGGCTATCAATAAATTCTTTCATCCCATAAAATCCTACCTCAATCTAATCATACTTTTGATGATAGATTTGAAAATGAGGAAGTTTCACCTCAAAAAATTGTATGTCATCGTGTCAGAAAATGTAAAAGATTTATGTACTGAAAAATTTTGTGAGAATTTTGTTTTTTAAAAGAATAAATATACATAATATAATAATGTGAAATAAACATTTTACAATAATTTGTAACATCAATTTTAGAGTAAGATTATTATTTAAAGTTATCAACCCAATTAAACTAATTCTCGATTCTCAGGACTTACAATTAGATAAACATCCTTTGATGTTCCTTGATTTGTCTCACAAACATTTACCTTTAAGTTAACAAACCCGGCCTCCCTCGAACGAAAGTTAAAAGGCAAATGCATTGTCGATGAGAGACCGAGAGCAAATAAGCTTCGTCCATTACGTTTGGGGATGCAAATTAGAACTTTAGAAAAAGGACTCGACCCTAATTCAAAAAGGGTTTTTACATTTACTTTTACTGGGGATGACGACAATGTTTAAATTCAGCGATCAAAGGATTTCTTTCCTTTTTTTTAGTGTCCCAAAAGTAAATACGGTGTTAATAGTTAAGTTAATCCATAAATCAGATGAAACGTCGCCATGTCACCATTGCATCGTCGTCGTTGTCGTTGTAGTCGTTCTCTTGAGCGCAGGTACGTACAAATAAATGCCTGTAGATCGTGGTCGTTCCGTTGCCGGCAAGTAAACGGCGACATTAAAAATGTCAAATGGCCCAACATGGAATTCCCGGACCCGTGTGCTTCATAATCGTTATCACGATCAACACCGGAAATATTTATTGTCTTCGTATTGGGAAGCCGAAGTCCCCAACAACGACGACCACAATCTCTGCTTCACAAGCGACGAAGAAACGTAGTAACTACCATCATCGTCTGGCAGCGGCTTCGGCGACACACCATTGTAATAATAATTCTTGTAAAGTTGAGAGATACACTAGTCTTAATATAGTTAAACAATGCGGGACAAGATTGTTTATTGGAATGAAGGTCGGGTGGAGATTTTGATATGAGAGTGTCTGGTGTGAAATACAGATGTGAAAACTGAACGGATGCGGAACGTTTAACAATTTTAATTAGTTACTGAATGGATGTTGTAGTGAGCTTGATACGGGAAGATATGGCATATTTCTATATTGGTTTTAGAAGTAGTGAAAGATGTGTCGGGAATACATTATTGTCAACTTATCGAAAATGGTCGTGGAATTATTAGAAACTTGTTTTGATATTTTTTAATAGCAAACAGAGTTACAAGACGCGAAATCGAAACCAGGTGTTTGATCGTTTTTCTTGGTTATTTTATGTGGGTTATATTTTATGAAGCTGTGTATTAAAAAAGAGTTTGCATCTTAAATTATTTTTACATTTTACAACATTTTATATAATTTGTTAGAAGGCACGAGTTTCAAACTCCAGATGTTTGTTGAGATTTGTCCTAGTAAATATTATGTAGGTTAATATTTTAGTGGAGAATTTTCAAAGTATTATTAACCCAAATGATGTAATCGATAAATTAAGTTAAGAATCGTTACTAATCTTACAATCGAAACGTAGAAATGCTGAGTATTTTGCAACAACACGGTTAAGAGTACCCACATATCATTGGATAATGCGACCGCTATAATACGTTCAAGTTGACGTATACGGACTTGATTGGCAATAACAATAGGTTCGGCCACACTGTTTTCCTTGATATTTCCACGTATCCAACGTATTTACGACTATCTCTCTCAAATGCAAACGATTCTCATGCAAATTATTTCTCGCGCATAAGGATACAAAGTACGCACACAAACATATCCAAAGGCTCATCGTTACACAACTTTATGCGTAAAAGATTCAAGTAGAAAACTAGATACTAGCATTCCAGAACAATAACATAATTCGATATTTAGATTTCTTTAAGACAATAAATGATTAATTTATGGATGTCGTTAAAATCCACTTAAAACTCTTTGGATTCCAGCGATTAAAGTTTTTTTTTAACTTTTACTTTAATTTATTTCCTCTTTTCTCGGAGAGAGGTAATTAATTCGAAAACCGAAAAAGAATTTCTTGTCCGCAGCTCTTAAAAAACCAGAGATCAATTGGTCGTATTAAAAATGTATAAAGGGTACCTCTCAAGAAAGAGAGACGAATTGCGCCCATCTAATCCATAATTTATGGCTTGGATTTAATCGAGGTACGAGCGTAAAAGACAACACAGGGCGGAGGAGGGTCTCCTGAGGTCACCGCGATCTGCATATCGTAACCCCCTTTTAGTTATATGGCACCCCGTCGATTCACAATCTGTTTCACTTCGTCACCCTCATGACTAACAAAAACAAATTATTTTATATCTCTCAAATAATTTCCATTTTTCAATTACAAATTAAGCAATAATAAACAAAATAAAGAACTTAAAAACTTCAACTACAACTAACTTCTCATTACAAAAAAGATATCGAGCCAAAAAAGCAATCTCGTTGAATTCGTCATAACAAATACAAATCATTGAATATCTGAGATCTTTCAATTAAATATAAAATAATAACAAACAAGGAGATATAAAATATAGTAATAGAATAACACAGTAGCTGTTAGATTAAAGTAAAAGTTGTGTTCACGACAACCTAATTACTTGGTTCGGTGTAGTCGCCCCTCTCCAGAGCACCGTATTTTTATTTGCCCCCTCGCTGCGACACAATATACGTAATTTGAACGAAAGGGGGGTGCCGAAGGTGCTCATTATCGACGAGCTCGCCCGACGACGGCAAAAAAGAAAATGATAAAAGGATATAAGGAAAAAGCTGTCCCGCTCAAAGGGCAAATATTTGATGACGCTCCCCCTTTCGGAGAATTTTCTTGGGAAAAAAGTCGGAAAATATAATTAGAAATCGCGAGCGCGACCAAGAAAAAGACCCAGAGCACAAAGAACCAACCACGTTCAATCAACTGTTTCAATCCTGTGACCGTATTAGATCTCAGCCTGAAACTGAAGACGAAAAAGAACATTTTTAACGTCAAAAAAGGTTTAGGGAGAGAAGAGAAAATAATTAGAAAATTAAAGGTTAATTAGAAAATATTAAAAAAATATATTGTGTCTTTTATTACAGTATTGTATTAATCTAGTAGGTACTGTTGACACTTGATCATCTTTATAGCAAAATGCTCTATCATCCCTAAGCACAAAATAATCCAACCTGCATGCCAAACTCCACCTTAAATTACCCCTACATTACAAACCAGAAACCATTTCTGCCGCCAATTCCAACAGACTCCAAATCCGAATTCCTATGCCTATACTAGCAAAGCCTCGATGAAATAAAAAAGCACAAGAAGGAAACCTAGTACCCAAAACCAAAAGCGATAAACCCCCAAGACAACATCTGCTGTGAAGTTCTTAAAATTAAATATAAATTCAAACTAATACCCGCCCGGGGATTCCCAAAGACCTTCAAATTCACGGACTCCGAAAATATGATCTTCCTAGACGATTACTTCTTCGACATCCACAAATCCAAACCTAATAGCAACGTCCAAAGCAAAACGAAATATGTAACCTAACCTAACATTTTCTTAAGCGACAATACGATCCTCCCACTGGCGCCCACCTAATCACACTAGCCTCCATCAAAACGATCACAAAATACTTCACACCATTCAAATCCCAGCTAATAATAAGATACCATATATTCTTCTTCAAAACCTCTCAAAAGAAGGTATAGTACAATTGTGCTATATTAGCTAATACCAAAGTCATAGATAAAATCATTGTCGAAAGATTACACTTCCATTCCCTAGACATGAACATCATCCCTAACTATTAATTCGTCCCCTCACTATAATTCCACTTTAGATTCTTCGATATCCAAGTCGATTATATGCACCAAAAACTGTCGCCCCACCCGCATGTCAACCCCCCTT